CAAACTTTGGTGTTTTTTGATGAGTTACTTTTAGATTTTTGCTTCTACTTTTCATTTAAAATAGGTTTCCATTCTCGGCAGGTTTCTAAGGTTCTTCTTCTACATATTAAAAAAGTTGTTAAACATCTGAGTGGCGCACTGCTGTTACTAGTGGTGAGAAACTGTATTGCACCTTATTCAAAATCAATGCTGTCCCACTGCCCTGTGGCCCACAGTTAAAAACTGTTGTTCTTTTGAGGCCCTCAAGGTGGCGGCCCATGGGTTAAGAACCTCTGGTATAAAGTCCCAGTCCCATTCTTCAGTGCATTACTCTGTGTACTTTTGTAGTCAGGACCGTGTGACGTGGCGGGTCGCAGATGAACTACCCTGGCTGCTCCAGCAGCAGGAGGAACAAACTAAACTCCAGCTCTGTCTTTTGAATCTGTTTGTCTCCCAAAATCTCTACAAGAGGTACGTGGCGCTCACTGGAGTCACGTTTACACAGGAGGCGATTATTTTTCAGCCTCATGTGATGAGTTTTGATTCTTTCCAGGGGTCATTTCTCTGAGCTGCTGGCCTATTGGCAGCACGTGGGCAAAGACAAAAGTTCCATGGCGACAGAGTACTTTGACTCTCTGAAAAACTACGAGAAGAGCTGCGAGAGTGAAGAAGACATGACCAAACTCGCAAACCTGTACGAAACTCTGGGGCGTTTTCTCAAAGACTTGGGCCTCCCGAGTCAGGTAGAGGTCTTTTTTGGTTTTCCAAGTGAGAACTGGATGTTTGTGTTTATGTATTTACATGTTTTTATTTTCAGGCTGTGGCACCTTTACATAGATCTCTTGAGATCAGAGAGACAGCCCTGGACCCAGACCATCCCAGCGTAGCGCGCTCTCTGCACCAGCTGGCCGGAGTTTACGTCAAATGGAAGAAATACGGGAATGCCGAGCAGCTGTACAAGCAAGCGCTCGAGATAAGCGAGAATGCCTTCGGGGCAGAACATCCCAGCGTGGCCCGGGAGCTCGAGTCACTCGCTGTGCTCTATCAGAAACAAAACAAGTCAGTGGAGCTCTTCTAGTGTAGAAAGCTAGTTGTTTGAGGATATTTAAGAGTAACAAAACTTTTATCGCCAGGTATGAACAAGCTGAGAAACTCAAGAAGAGGTCAGTTAAGATCCGGCAGAAGACTGCACGCCAGAAAGGTCATATGGTGAGCGAATTTCACAATGTCAGCTGAAGTGTCACCCTGATGTTTTTAAACATAGCTACTTTTTCTGTCCTTGCTTTTGTCAGTATGGCTTCACTCTGCTGAGACGCAGAGCCCTCCAGCTGGAGGAGCTGACTCTGGGAAAAGACTCTGCAGATTCTGCCAAAACACTCAACGAGCTGGGCGTCCTCTACTACCTCCAAAACAACCTGGAGTGAGTTTGACAGGTTTTGCTGCAACGCTGCGTAAAAACCAAGATTCATTTGTGATCCAGACTTGCACAGTGAAGAGCTAACCTGCCTGAAAGCCTTTTTATTTATTTTTTTCCCCTCACCAGTGCAGCAAAAGTGTTCCTGACCCGCTCACTGGAGATGCGCCAGCGTGTCTTCGGCCCGGATCACCCCGACTGCGCTCAGTCCCTCAACAACCTGGCTGCGCTGCACACCGAGAGGAGGGAGTACGAGACGGCCGAGGACATGTACGAGAGGGCGCTGGAGATCCGCAAGAAAGCCCTGTCGCCAGACCACCCCTCTCTGGCGTACACGCTCAAACACCTGGCCATGCTCTATAAACGCAGAGTGAGACACGACTGCCTGTTTATGCTCAACGTTAAAAAACGCTTCTAGTGACGCTGTTTTTCATCCATCCTGTTCGTTGTGTTGCTCAGGGGAAGCTGGAGAAAGCAGTTCCACTTTATGAGTTATCTTTAGAGATCAGGGAGAAGAGTTTTGGTCCTAAACATCCGAGTGTAGCCACAGCACTGGTCAACCTCGCTGTAATCTACTGTCAGCTGGTGAGACACCTCATTATGGATTGAAAATGTAATTTTGTTCACGGTCTGCGTTTAGTTGTATTTCTGTAGTTTTAAAGCTGTTATTTCTATAATTAGCTAAGCTACACATCTCTTTTCCTTTGACAGAAGAAGCACAGCGAGGCCTTGCCCCTGTATGAACGAGCACTCAAAGTGTACGAGAATAGTTTAGGCCGCTCACATCCACGAGTTGGAGAAACCCTAAAGAACCTGGCTGTGCTTAGGTAAAAAAAAAAGTTTTAATATTGTTTTTCTAATGTTTTATTATAAAATGTTTTTCCTTAATGCTTAACTTTCTATTGTCCTAATCCAGTTTTGAGAGGGGTGACTTTGAGCGAGCAGCTGAGCTTTATAAGCGCGCGATGGAGATTAAAGAGGCGGAGCCATCGTTAGTGTGTGGCAACGCCCCGTCGCGCCACTCCTCCAGTGGAGACACATTCAGCGTGAAGGGGCCAGCTCCACTGCCACATGCTCCGAGGTGAACCTGATGGTGCCACCTGTCCAAAAGTACTATAAACAGAACTCAAACAGAACTTTTTTGCCTCATCTCAAAAAAAGAATCAACAGATCGTCATGGTTTACTGAGGTACTGCGTAGTTTCTACACATCCTCACATCAGAAACTATAGTTTTTTGTTAGTTTTTTTACATGGATTTGTTATTTTAGTGAGACACTACATCAGTCCCCTTTTACAAGCTTGGATTTTTGGAACTCAAATTTTAACTTAAAAATATTTGTTGCCATTTATTTTTCTCAACTTTGTGCCAACGGACACTTTCAGTTTTAGTTATCGATTGTATGCACTTTATTTTTTGTATTTATAGCTCAAGTGAACAACTTCAAAAGTCAAACATATAAAAAAAACTTCTMAAAAAAAAAAAAAAAAGCCAGGACTAGAAGACTTCAAGCACTTTTTGTTGTCAAATCTACAACAGTAAGTTGCAAGTACAATCAAATGTGTATTTAAAACAAATCGTATTCTATCTTCAAGTACAAGGACACCTACCGTTTACATAACCTTGGTTGTTCATTAATAAAAATAGAACAAATCGAAGTCCAAAACAAGTTAGAGAAAGGTTGTCTGAGGAGACATTTTCTCTGATGTAGCTGTTTACATGAAAACACTATGTTTGCATTTATCGTTTAACCAGAGAAACTGTAAGGATGCTGCCAAAAACACGTTTGTGCCATTTAAATTCACCTAAATTCCAATGCAATAAATGTCCTACCTGAACCAGACAATGTTTTTCAGTGGTTTATTTATATATAATCATGTGCTGTTATTACTGTATTTATTCATGTAAAATACTAGAAATTTAACCCTAAAAATAATTCATAGTGTGTGTGTGTGTGTGGGGGGGGGGGGGGGGGGGGGTAGTATTATACATGGGTTATTGATAATTAGATTTTTTTATGCATTTTAAGCTAAAAAAAAAAGATAAGTACGGTAATTACAATATGTAAAACCTTTACAAAAAAAGAAAAAAAAAGAGCATGGTACTACAATTTCAGTCCATCTAATAAATACTTTATTGAGACAACACTGTTGCAGCAGAAGAACACCACATAGGTGAAAAGCTGGAACATTCACCCACTTGATCTTCAGGAAAACTATCATTTAATGCATTCATGGATATTTAATAAATTTAAATTTTAAATTGATTCCATTCAAAGAGCCGTTTCTTTTATGTGTGAAATGCTTTTAACGTCATGTTTCATGCATTCCATAATATTGGCTGTTAAAAATGTTAAATGAAAATGTTAAAAGTATGGATGTGAAAAAGAAACAAATTTTCAGATTGTTGCCTACAACTTTCTCATCTGAGCCATTAAGTCTTCTAAGCTCAGTTCAGTCTCCTCCACCGTCTCTCCTTTCGCTGCTTTCTGTAAGAAACACGAAATGTTAGTTTAAAAAGGTGAAAACAAAGCAAAATATAGCGATTCAATGTGACAATTTGAAGTACTGCTTCTATTTGTGGTAGAAAACTTGCCTCTGCTGGAATAGTATAAGCTACTTGGATGCCTTCTGGGAGGTCTGGTGCAACTCCTGAGGCAGCCTGTAACTCTGCATCAGTGACCTCTGATACCAGCTCAATACCTGCAAGGCACAAATGTGTGTTCTAATGCATGTGACAAAGATCGATCCAAAATAACACCTGTATGTCTGAAGTCTCTTCGCTCACCCCATTCGTTGTCTTCGTGTACTATCTCTTCTTCCTCTTCCTGCACAACTTCCACCCTCGGCCGCTCTGCTTCTTTCTTCTGAAAATGTCAGAAAAATAGGAAACGTTAGGGTGTCAGGGTGTCTGGCTGATAAAGGAATGAAATAGTAAGCAGCGAGATTCTCACTGAGCTTGTGTACCTTGTACTCTTCTTGTTGTCTCCTGCAGTGGCGGTCGTTACACTGGGGGTTGGCTTTCATGGCCATGGAAGGGAAAAAGTCCTGCATGGCATTGTAGCCAAGATAATGGCTTACTGTGCCAAACTTCAGCAGATATCTAAAGGACAAAACATTCAGGTTAACTTCACCCACTTATTTTTTGTTAATATATATTAACGTAATGTTTTGAAGGTTTAACATGGCTATAAAACAATAACATACTTGAGGACATTTTGCACCAGGATACCTGCAACCACACCCATTGTTGTTGGTAAGCTAGCAGCACACACACCCTCTCGTTTTAGGGTTTTTTCATCAATGTTGGCAGCAACCACCAGTGGAGGAGCACACTGAAAACAGATGTTATACAGCTTAAATTCATGGCGTAAAAATCAAACATTGTTAATGAAAATATATCTTTAAGTGCACACATACAGCAAAGCAGGCCGTCTCTCCAGGGATAATGAGCTGGATGTGACCTGACACAGCATTCTCACTCACACCAGACTCCATCCAGATCTGACCTAGTTCATTACAAGCCTGAAAACAACAACAAAAAAATAAATAAATAAAATCAGACATTTCTAGCTAGAAGTGCAGCTCTGCAACTTTTTATTTTTTAATGAAAACCTTACTGTGTTGATAGCCATCCTGGCCTCAAAGTTATCCACACAGCTCAGGACCAAATCCACTGGTTTCCCCTCTTCCAGCCCACCATGACTGAGAAAAGACAGTCATTTATTGTGAGGTGCTTTTAGATAACAGGACAGAAAGACATAAAATAAAGCTGGTCTGCAAACCTGATGCGATCCATAAAATGTGTGAAATTTTCCACCGTTGTGATATTGTAGTTATGGGTCTCAAATGTCACGTCAGGATTGATGTTTCTGTTGGTAAACATGAGTCACACTTTAGTAAAATAAAAAAAATAAAATAAACTAAACAGTTGTGAATGGAAGAATAGTGACCATCTGCTGACCTGAGTGTGTGTTCTGCTGCTTCCACTTTACTGAGGCCTGCCTGGTGTGGCTGGAAGAACAGTCTGTTCATGTTGGCCAGCTCCACTTTATCATAGTCAAAAAGCAGCAGCTATAGTGACAAAGATGCAAACACACGAGCACAGCTGTAAAAATACAGAATGACAAACATAAAGGTATTCACCATAATGCTTTAATACGAGGGAGAAAAAAGGCTTTTATTACCTTACCAATGCCACATCTAGTTAGCATCTCAGCTGTCACGCTGCCAACTCCCCCAACACCAACTACAATTACTGAAAAGCTCCGGATTTTCTGTAAACAAATTTCCAGATGATTATTTATTCAAAAAACTTGCTTAGTTTTGTAAATAAACTATGTAAACATAACAATGGATCATCACTTAGTTGTCATGATGCACACAGCTGTGTGCAAACAACAAACAAAGCATAATTTCAACACGTGTGGAGAAACAGGACAAAGACCAACTAGTTTATATTTCTTAAGACGTTAAAAAAATACCTCGTAGTCCTCCACGATTCCCATTCTTTTTAAAGCCATCAGACGGCTGAAAAGACAAAACAGCTGAGATTAGCTTGTGGTCAGAACAGGGCGTCGCCTCTGCTCGCACTACAACACAAAAACAGTCACGATAATTATTATAAAAAAAAATAAAGGATACCTGTATGGGTTGGAATCCACAACTTCGGCGCTCATTTTGTCAATTTTGGGTCTGTTCATCGCCTGAGAATCATCCATTATTACACACTGCTGCTGCTGTTTACATTTTATCAATTCATTTTCCAACTCTCGCACCCTCAGCTTCAGCTCCTCCACCGTCGCCATTTTAATAAAACAAATGTGGTTACAAAATGTAAATAAACTGTACTGTTGTCATCTATATGGTAAATGTATACAAGCGGGAAAAAAATCAAGACGGAAAGTACACGTCTTCTTTCCTCAAATCAATTGTCAGGTTGTGTGCGCATCTAAATATCATCCGTGTGGAAAACACGCACAGTTCTTCAACTGTTCCGACCAGCGTCAATAATCTTTTTCTTTATTTGCCACTCAAGAATTTGAGCAGTCAGGTTAAAACGCACTTCGACATTATTTTATATAACTCAATTGTAGCTTTAATGTAGTGGGTACATTATTTAAAATAAAAAAATGGGAACGCTTTATTGAGGGGCTGGTTCAAAATCGGTTATAGACATATAAGAAGATATCACATGGCTAGACATTTAGCACGTACGACTTCTTACGTTTTGCTAAAACAGTGGTCTCTACGTATATCCGACTATAAGTCCGCCCACAAATGATAATGGGTAACGTTTGCGTTGTCAGCTACCTGGCTCACTCATGATTTGCAATGATTAATCCAGAAGGACTGTAACATGGAAGAGGTAACAACTCCTGTGCGATCACAGCACACATTCAGTGTTGGTAATCTTCAAAAATACCTGTCTGTCAAGTCGCGGGTGTCAAATAATGACACGTTAACAGTCAGACAGTACAGGTAAGCAGCTAAGCCTTTTCATTAACTCTCCAAATTATTTCTATGTGAAGCTGAACTGGAAACACAATGTATGTTATCTTCCAGTCTAGGTCAGTCAAATCCAACCTTTCTCATTGAGACCCCCTCAAACAGATATGTTCTCCGGAAGAAACCCTCAGGCATGCTGCTGCCTAGGGCTCACAGGGTAAGCTTGCTACTAATACATCATCAGGTGTTCACAACTGTGTTGCAAACACTAAACGGCTTTAAACAAAACAGAAATCTGCAACTTTGTTTGATGTTATTGCGGCCTTTGTCCAGCAGAGGGCAGCATTACACCAGCTTCACTCTCAACATGATGCGAAAAGTTTTCTAAATATGAATAGTTTGGTTTGATTTATGACTCTGAGAAACAGTAAAAAAAATTAGAATCAAAATATTTTAATTTACCTTTTCTATATAAAGCTTTGTTGTCCTTATACAGTTTAATTTCAAGTGTTTTTCTCCTACACAAATCAAAAGTGTACCGTAATTAAAAACCAGCTATAAAGTGACAACATTGTTCTAAAAGGCACATTTTTTATTTTTTATATATAAGCTTGACTTCACTTAAAAAGATAGGATAGATAAATTTTGTGAAATGCCTTTTTGTTTGGAATGCAGTAAGCTCGGCCTTTTTGACTGATGACATAACAGTCAATTGACTGATCTTTGACCACCAGCCTATCAACAAATATAATAAAATAACCAGTTTGTCCTAAATATAAACAAACTGACTTTGCTTTGAAACTGACAAATTGCCTTTACATTAAACGCACATTTCACAAAAGAGTTTTACAAAAAATAAACTCTGAAAACCAAATGTGTGTGGTCCCAATGCAGTGTGCGTTATGTAGGGGTCACCTCGAGTCAAATTATCAAGGAACTATCTTGGACTCTCAGTCCTCTGATGGGCCTTCGAATGGACAAAAACTCTGTTCCACTTAGAAATGTATTTAGGCCACAAGGCCACTTTCCCTCTAAATCAGATAAAAACATAAGAATCTTCTCTTATTTGATTTAGCAGTCACTTAACTGAAAGTATTACGCATTTTGATAATCAGAGAATGTTTATCAAAGTTACAGGAGAAGAGAGGACAGATCTCTTTTCTCCCTCAGTATGATTTCAGCTATGTAATGGTTTTTCTGTGGGAAAAATTCTTATTTAACTAAAATAATCTTTATGGTTTAAGTTGATGAAATGTCAATGTTTTACTTGTCTGAATCATATTTGCAAATGTTTTGAACTTGAGGCAATTCATTTTTCTTTCAGTTATGTTTTAAACAGTACTCATCAGATGATTTAAATGGGTCATGAAATGTGTTGTTCTGAACCACACAGCAGCAGCAAATAATCTTTGTTTTGTTTCAGGAGGCACAGCAAGCTCTGAAACTAACACTTTCCTTGATAATTTCTGTTTCTAATCTAACCTTCTGAAGGGTGGACCATAGATTCTCTAAGCTTTTAGGAACTAACAGTTTCTGCCCGTCTCAGTAGCAGACAGACTGAGAAAAGACAGAGAGTAAAGGTGACTGACCACCGTCAGTCACTGTAACAGCTAGATTCTCTCCGGGGAATCAAAAGCTGAAAACTGTGTCAGGTTTGGCCCCTTCACCCCAACGGGGAAACCTCACAGTGTGGAAAACCACGCCTGGTTTATCCACCTTCAGAAACTCTCCAGACGGAAGTTTTATTTACAACCTGGGTTCCAGTCGAGGCCTTGTCTTCTGGTTACGGCTGACGTGGACGTAAACGAGTCAAAGAGCACGCCTTGGGGTCCCCTGTTCGACGGTCTAAAGACAGATTCTACGGCAGCGCCCCCACCTACCTGGCAGGTGACAGAACATCATCTCAAGGTAAAAGCGTTCTGTGCTCAGCTTTGGTCAGACCTCGACGTCACACACAGCCAGCTTTTACCTTGAGATGATGTTCTGTCACCTGCCAGGTAGGTGGGGGCGCTGCCGGAGAATCTGTCTTTAGACCGTCGAACAGGGGACCCCAAGGCGTGCTCTTTGACTCGTTTACGTCCACACAGACCCCTCCCCGATAAGAACAGCAGGACAGCAAAAGCTTTGGATACACGCGCAGGGTGTGTATCCAGTCCGTGTTTGTCACGCGCGCGCGGGGGGGATGCGTGCATTCGTGTGTGTGTGTGTGTGCGTGCGCGCGCGCACGCGCGGGGCGGGGGTCTGCCGCAGGTAACAGAGCAGGCAGGAGGGGGAGAGGATGAGGAGAAGAGCGGGGGACTTATTCCTAATTTTACCTAACTTATTTTATTTAATTGTTATTGTTTTTATCGTCCTATAGACTCTGATTGAAAATTAATTTGAAGCTGAGATTTTTTACTTTTATTTTTTATAAAAATCGTTAGATTACTCTAAATCAAAATGAAGGAAAATCTGTGTCATTTAAAGACATTCTGTTCACGTGAGCAGCTGTCAGTCAGCACCTGTCATCCTCCAGACGCACGACGGAGCGTGTCTGAACCAATCACTTTTGTTGGCATTGATCATCTGACTGATTTAAATACATCTTAACATTCATGAGGTACTTTACATTGACCGTTTATGGTTGAATGTGGGCGTGTAGAGGGTAGAACCTGAGGCGGGACCTCGTGCGCAAACTCTGACGTGAGGCTGTGATTTATAAATGAAAGATGCGCAGAAACGTGCGTACGTACGGTTTTATAAATMTGAATTTTTTTGGGCGTACGCCATTTCCGCCTTTTGGCCGTACGTTCACTTTTAGTATGGTTTCCACGCAATCCTTTATAAATGAGACCCCTGATGAGTACTGTTTAAAACATAACTGAAAGAAAAATAAATTGCTTCAAGTTCAAAACATTTGCAAATATGATTCAGACAAGTAAAACATTGACATTTCATCAACTTAAACCATAAAGATTATTTTAGTTAAATAAGAATTTTTCCCACAGAAAAACCATTACATAGCTGAAATCATACTGAGGGAGAAAAGAGATCTGTCCTCTCTTCTCCTGTAACTTTGATAAACATTCTCTGATTATCAAAATGCGCAATACTTTCAGTTAAGAGACTGCTAAATCAAATAAGAGAAGATTCTTATGTTTTTATCTGATTTAGAGGGCAAGTGGCCTTGGGTGGCCTAAATACAGTTCTAAGTGGAACAGAGTTTTTGTCCATTCGAAGGCCCATCAGAGGACTGAGTCCAAGATAGTTCCTTGATAATTTGACTCGAGGTGACCCCTACAGTTACTAAAGGGGATCTCTGTCTTTAGTATGGTTGTGAACAGGATGTTTGTGTGCAGGTGGATAGGGAGTTTCAGGTGCAAAAGGCTCTTTTCTCTGCTGGGTTCCCCGTCCCTGAGCCCCTCCTGTTCTGTTCTGATGTTGAAGTAATAGGAACAGAGTTCTACTTGATGGGTCATGTGCAGGTAGGTTTGGGCATTTGAGTCACATTCCTAGTTCCCACAGTTCCCACACATTGTTACACTGTTTCTATCATTGTAAAGTTATTATCGTGAGATTCCCAGGTATTTGAATATGTTTAATTGGCAACAACGTAGTGATTTGTTTTCCAGTTGAAGATTTATTTTCTTTAAATACCGCCATTGTTCATCTGCTTTCTTTGCTCAGGGCCGTATATTCAGAGATCTTCATCTCCCTGGACTGAGTCCAACAGAGAGAACGGCTGTGTACGTAGCTGCGGTGGAAGTGTTGGCGAAGCTGCATTCTTTGGACTTAGCATCACTGCAACTTGAAGGGTTTGGAAAAGGGCCTCAGTACTGCAAAAGACAAGTTAGATGTCACATTTTACTCAATCAATTATAAAAAATAAAAAAAACAACTAATGCTGTTTATTTCAATTGGAAAATTTCTACAACTAAAAGTCTGAAATGTTTCTTCTTTGAAGGTGTCCGTCTGGACGAGGCAGTACTCTGCAGCAGCTCACAGAGACATTCCTGCCATGAACGAGCTGTCCGATTGGCTGATGAACAATTTGCCTGAGAATGATAACGAGTTCACGCTGGTCCATGGAGATTTCCGACTGGACAACTTGATCTTCCACCCAACTGAGGTACAACGTCCAAGAGCTGAACTCATATCAGAACGCTGCATTTTTCAGCAGTTAAATAATCGAGGGGGGTGTTGGTTTCTAAGGCCCGTGTGATAGCAGTGTTGGACTGGGAGTTGTCCACCACAGGGAACCCGCTGGTAGATCTCGCCTACTTCCTCATGCCTCAATACCTGCCTGCAAACCTCAGCATTAACAAAACAGTTGGCAGCTTACAGGGGATAGAAGGTAACATCAGTTCTTAATGAAAACCTTTACAGAACTGAACGTGGCCAATAGCATCTGTGTCCCAGTTGTTTTTAATTTTTTACACGTGCATCATCATCATCATCATCATTATTATTATTATTATTATTATTATTATTATTATTATTATTATTATTATTATTATTATGGATATTTGTTTCTCTCTGTGCAGGTATTCCAGCTGCTGGCGACCTTATCTCAATCTACTGCAGATGTCGAGGAATCCAACCTGCTTCTGTGCCACAGCTGAATTTCTTCTTGGCTCTGTCTGTCTTTAAAATGGCTGCGATTGCTCAGGTTTTCATCAAGTTTGTACTTTAAATAACTTTTGATTTACCGCAGATTGAAAAAAAAAAATCAAGTTTGAATCTGACCATATTGATTAGTGGCTGATGTGAGCAGGGCCACGTGTGGGTTGCCATCGTTAAAACAAAATCTAAATTTATATATGTAACCCATCATGTCGAAATGAAGATTAAATCAAATTTGGCCAAAATTACCTAATTACAATTTCAAATTCCTGGATTTAAAAGCTACATTTTGATACCTGGATCATTCAGATCTCTTAAGCTTTTGCAGAGATATGACTTAATTTGTCTTGTTGGTTACAATAACGCAATAATGCTAGGTCTGAATCCTAATTTTAGGTAAATCTATTGAGTATTTTTTATGTCGATTTAAAGAGAAAACCGCAAATATTATTTGTATATTAGGTTTCCCGGTTTGAAAGAAACAAACATTGCTAGCTCACAGGGAAATTTTCAAAATTTTAAGACATTTTTCCTCAATCTGTTTTATTTTTTTGTTACAACTCAAAAAAATGCTTCAAAAAAATTAGGGTTATATTTGATTTAATTAGATTTATTGATTCAACAGGAAAAGATTACTAAAAATCAAGCCTGACTCAGCATAATTGCTGTTTTACAGCAGGTTCCTGTTCTGCAGCACATAAAACACTCAGAAATACAGCATCACAATCACATCATTATACACCATAGACACAAAGACAAACAAGCATATTTCAGACAGTTCATTCAAATGATACATTAATGAGGCATTAATTCATTATATTTTGACAAAATGCAAGTTTTGCATACGTTTAAATCAAAACCCTCTATCTGCCTATTTCTCCACATTCCACATTTGGACTTAATCCTCATTGTGATGTGATGGATCACAACATTATAGCTTTTCACATGATTGCTATTTTATAAACTGTACACCATGGTCAGTTTTACTTCACACACTTATGGTTATTTGCGAGCTAGATAGCAGCTAGCTGTTTATTTGTATTAACCTTAATTTACCCAGGCTTATTGAGATCATAGATCTGTTTTTGAAAGGGAGGCCTGAAGGTAACCTTAACATTCATGTTTATAGTCTGGGGAAACTGGTGTACCTGGAGAAAACCCACATAAACACGAGGAGAACATGCAAACAACATGCAAGCTGTAGCACTTCTGACGAAGCCTGGGGCAAATTCTGTAGAAATGTCTGATTTCTGCTGGAACTGAGGTGTAATGGAAAAAAAAAAAACAATATTGTAAAGACTTATAAAGTAGAGCTTGCATGAACTAGCGTGTAATTTTTGTGGCTGAAGTTTTTTTTCTGCAACGATCCACTTTGGCTTGATTCTGCTCAGATGAGCTGTTTGCTCCAATCAGAATTAAACTTTGTTTTTATCAAAGTCTTACCTACTTCTAAAGATTTCAGCTAACGCTAAGTTGTTAGTATTGAGCAGTTTTGATATAGTTATCCTGGCAATAGAAGCAATTGAATATTTTCTGTATTTTTCTCACCAGGGGATCTATGCTCGTTACCTGCAGGGGAACGCCAGCGCGCCCAACGCCAACGAGTTTGGTCAGAATGTGGAGCCTTTGGCTGAAATAGCCTTGCAACTTATAAAAAGGTGAATGGTAGCTATGGATTGATTAATGCTCGCCAGTCCACCTAATTTATTGTGAAAGAAGCCAAACATTGTCTCAAAATGACTCATCAAGATGTATTGTTGTTTTGAGCCACAAAGCTGATTGAGTCCACCCACAGGCCCGAACTTTGAGCCAGAGAAGTGTTGGAATTTGGCAGCCAGCTGTTGCTTCCAGTATTTCCTGCCAGGTTTTAAACATTTCAGATGTGTTTCGTGCCCAGGCCTCTCTCCGGTCCAACAAAAGACGGCCTGTTCCTTCAAACGGCCAAAGGCCGGGCTGTTCTGCAGCAGGTCAAAGACTTCATCCGACAAAACGTGCTTCCGGCTCAGCAGGTGAGAACAGAAGAGATGTGTGTGTGTGCTCTGATGGATGTTTAGCTTGATCGTGACCGGATTTGACAGAGCAGATCATTCATGAAATCAGGATTTGTTAATTAGAGTGAGGGAAGGAACAAGTCTGTTGGACTAAGTGAATTATGTTGCATGCAGAGTCGTCACAGTTGACCGAGCATCATAGGGTTTTCACCGGTGTTGTATAAGGTACAACAAAGTGATACTTGAGTAAAAGTACAAGTATCTTACCAAAAAATTACTTTGGTAAAATTTAAAGTCTCCTTTAGGAATGTTACTTAAGTAAAAGTCTTAAAGTATCTGATATTTTTGTACTTAAGTATTAAAAGTAAAAGTATTGATTTAAAGTGAGCAGTTAGTCATTTATGCATTTTTTGGGGTGGTCACCTCCTAATAAATTACAGAAAATCTATGACTTATTAAAATAATTAATTATGTTAAATTTAGGATGCACTAGTCTAGCTGTTTCAGTTTATATACAGCGGGTAAAATAAGTAYTGAACACGTCACCATTTTTCTCAGTAAATATATTACTAGAGGTGCTAATGACATGAAATTTTCACCAGATGTCGGTAACAACCCAAGTGATCCATACATACAAAGAAATCAAACCATAAATGTCCAGAAATGAAGTTATTTGTAATAATGTGGAATGGCACAGGGAAAAAGTATTGAACACACTTACTGAAATGTATCTAATACTTTGTACAAAAGCCTTTGTTGTCAATGACAGCTTCAAGACGCCTCCTGTATGGAGAAACTAGTGGCATGCATTGCTCAGGTGTGATTTTGGCCCATTCTTCCACACAAACAGTCTTCAAATCTTGAAGGTTTCGTGGACCTCTTCTATGAACTCTGATCTTTAGTTCTTTCCATAGATTTTCTGTTGGATTCAGGTCAGGTGATTGGCTGGGCCATTCCAGCAGCTTTAGTTTCTTTCTCTGAAACCAACTGAGAGTTTCCTTGACTTTGTGTTTGGGCTCATTGTCTTGCTGAAATGTCCAGCCACGTTTCATCTTCATCATCCTGGTAGATGGAAGCAGATTTTTTTTATCAAGAATGTCTCTGTACATTTTTCCACTCTTCCTTCCTTCAATTATTTGAAGTTTGCCAGTACCATATGCTGAAAAACAGCCCCACACCATGATGTTCTCACCTCCAAACTTCACTGTTGGTATGGTGTTTTTGGGCTGATGTGCAGTGCCATTTGACCTCCAAACATGATGTGTATTCTGGCATCCAAACAGTTCAGTGTTGGTCTCATCTGACCAGACTATATTCTCCCAGTATTACACAGGCTTGTTTAAATGTTGTGCAGCAAACTTTAAAGGAGCTTCAACATGCTGTTTCTTCAGCAGTGGAGTCTTGCGTGGTGAGCGTGCATACAGGCCATGGTGGTTCAGTGCATTACTTATTGTTTTCTTTGAAACAATCGTACCTGCTAATTCCAGGTCTTTCTGAAGCTCTCCACAAGTGGTCCTTGGCTCTTGGACAACTCTTCTGATAATTCTTTTCACTCCTCTGTCAGAAATCTTGTGAGGAGCACCTGGTCGTGGTTGGTTTATGGTGAAATAATGTTCTTTCCACTTCTGAATTATGGCCCCAACAGTGCTCACTGGAACCTTCAGAAGTTTAGACATTCTTCTGTAACTGATGCCATCATTATACTTTGCAACAATAAGGTTGTGAAGGTCTTGAGAGAGCTCTTTACTTTTACCCATCTTCAGATGGTTCTTGTGTGATACCTGGCCATCATCTGGGACTGAACCAGCTGGTATTAACTTGCACTGACAAGGGGCAGGCTTGCTTTCTAATTACTGAGAGAGTTCAGCTGGTGTCTTGGCTTTCCATGCCTTTTTACACCTCCCTTTCTTCATGTGTTCAATACTTTTTCCCTGTGCCATTCCACATTATTACAAATAACTTAATTTCTGGACATTTATGGTTTGATTTCTTTGTATGTATGGATCACTTGGGTTGTTACCGACATCTGGTGAAAATTTCATGTCATTAGCACCTCTAGTAATTTATTTACTGAGAAAAATGTTGACGTGTTCAATACTTATTTTACYCGCTGTAATTACTCAAGTAAAGTACAGATACCCAAAAATTCTATTTAAGTACAGTAACAAAGTATTTGTACTTGAACTCTGGTTTTTACTGCTTCTTTCTGTGAAAGAATTGGGCGCATCAGGAAAAAAAAAACACCAGAAAATAAAATCTCTCATTGTTAAATTAAACGTCTTTTTTCTCGTTTTCTCTGATGAAGATTATGAGAGAAACGTAAACATGAAATTCCAAACTTTGTTTTTTCTGATCGGTGATAAATTGCTTTTTTATTTTTCCACCAGGAAGTTGAGGAGTACTACAGTAAACACGCTCAGTCTCCACAGAGATGGCACCCACCTCAAATCATAGAGGACCTAAAGGTATGCAGGATTTTGATATTGCTGTTTTTGCAAAAAAAAAGTTAATTAAAATGCAGCCTCATGTGTTTATAATTCTTTAGAACACCTTCCAACAGACTGAGCGTTCTCATTAGTTTAGAGCAGGCTGTGCACGGCTTCTGACTCATCAGACACCACAAACTGTCATCAGTGATTTAAAATTCAATTCAAGTTTTACTGCTACAACAACTGTTTCTTTTTGTGTGTGTTTATTTGCTATAGCTTATTTAGCTCATTTTGGCATCACTAATATGTATTTGGCAGAAGTAATTGTGCTTTTCTTTTATCTGTGAGCCCAGGTGAAAGCCAGGCAGGCGGGGCTGTGGAACCTGTTCCTGCCTGCCATCAGTGGACTCAGTCAGGTGGATTATGCCTACATTGCAGAAGAAACTGGACGCTGCCTGTTTTCTCCTGAAGTCTTTAACTGCAACGCTCCAGGTGAAACATCCAGAAAGGGTGTTGGATGTTTTACAGTCAAGATGTGGCCTTGCACTCTTCAGATATCACACTTCCTTTATTACATTTTAAAAGGAAAACACACAACATCTCAAAGTTTGCTTGAAAAAGATGGATTTTCTGTATTCTACGTTAAGTATTAAAAAAAGTGCATGCTTTTTCCAGACACTGGGAACATGGAGATCCTCCACATGTTTGGCACAGAAGAGCAGAAGAAGAAATGGCTGGAGCCTCTTCTGAGAGGAGAAATCCGTTCCTGCTTCTGCATGACAGGTACTTTTCTCACCTCGTCACCAGAGGAAAACAAAACTCATCCAGCTTTTAGAGGATGTAACAATCTAGAATCAAAGGCCTCCTGAGACCACCTACTGAGCTGATATGGAGCAGGGTTTCCATTAAGATGTTTTATTGTCTCTTTTTGAGTTTCTTTGAAAAAATAAATAAATGAAACCATCTGCGAAAAACATTTCGACAGCAACAATTAAGCAAGCGTGTGCCCTGAAAGCTCCGTCCTGTCGGGACTGGGTGTTACCTTCTTATTTCATCAAGCAGTAGCTCTAAAATATAGCCTCATATATTTCATTTACTGAGTGCTCAGTGAGCTTTGTTCAGTTTTTGATGAAAATGGCCTTAAAAAAGAGCAAAATCCAACAGAAGCAATAAATAAATGTCAAACAGGATGTTGATTCCTCATGTTGTAAACCAACGTGTGGCCAGTTTGAAAGAGCTTTATTTATGTGGAATAAGTATTAGCAAGTCATATCACTTACAGCAAATTAATCATTTGGATTATGCATCTTTACAGCAATCAGATGATGGCTTTTTAATCTCCAGACTTGATATTTTTCAAGAAAAACTTTTTTTATTTTGGGCAATTTTTTTTGCAGGGATCCAATTTCTTCATGAACAGTGAGCAGCAGAGCTCCAGGTCTCTTTTATTTAAAAATGTCAGAAGCAGAATGGCTCATTTGTTCACCTCTAAACTGGGATTTGAGTGTGGTCTAGCAGAAGGAAATGTGGCGCATTGGAGCGAGAGGAGGACTGTCCATTACAGTCTGTGTGTTTATTGAGCAGGAATGTGCTGACACTGCGCTGGTTAAGATCTCACTTCAGTTATTTTATTCTCCTTTTTTATTTTTTACGTTGAGATGTGTGTAAAAAAAAAAAATCAGTAAAATGGGCAAATTTTAAAACCTGTTAGTTTCCAAGGTCCATCAGTGTTTTGTGACTTGTTCAAATCTGTTTTTATTCTGTTTGTGACCTGCAGATCTTGTTTTGTTTGGAAGTTAGTTAAGTAGATGAACTGCTTTCTTTCTGTTGTCGTGGTTGCAGTGAAATCCCAGGTGTGAACTCACTCATTTAAAGCTTTCTGCTCGGGGTTGGTTCCCAAATCTGGAAAAAGTCAGAAGATTTTCCACCCATTTCCTGCCCCCTCACCTCAGTTCATCCTAATGACACGTTTCTGCTGTTCCACTATTGATTGCGGTCGGAAAGCGGTGCGCGTGGACTTGGCGTGCCTGTTACGGACACTGTTCAAATCTTGTTGGGAAGTGTCACCTGCCAACATCACCAAACACTGATTCATACATGGGATTTCTTCCCGTTCTGTTCCTCTTTGATCTTTACTTTGTCTGGAAACATGTTGTTGCCAGAAGTGATCACAGTGGGTGCGAACGTCCCAGTGGATTACATAAACACATTAGTCCAGTTTTATATATTTATGTTTTTCTTCTTTTTTGTGGGGTTGGGGGATGAATCAGGAGGGGGATGCCTTTTGTCAGCAGTGTGTTTTATTTCTTCCAATAAATGACGGGGAATTGGAATTTCCATCTCGTGCCGGTAAACATTTTCTACTTTTAAAACTCAAACGGTGTTTATAAAATTGAAAAATGTTGTAACTTGTTTCCTTAGAGCCTGATGTTGCCTCCAGTGACGCAGCCAACATGGAGTGCAGTCTTCGCAGGGAGGAAGACAGCTACGTTATAAATGGCAAAAAGTGGTGGAGCAGCGGTGAGTCACCTAATCTTAAACACTGAAGTGTTTGATGGTTTATTTACGAGCTTAAATGTCCTCAGATGTTATAAACTATACAAGCAGTTTTATGTGAGTTAAATAAACTTTCTTTGAAAGCGTTTTTAAGTAGGAAAAACCATAAACCAAGTTTTTGTCAAAGGGTATCTTCTGCCCTAAATGCCTTTTCTCTTTTTGTTTTATTTTAAAAAGTCATTAGGATAGCAAGCATGCTAATCCAAACTGCTAACATATGGGCAATCAAAAGCTTAGATGACTCGTATAATAGCATTATATAACATAAACATGTTTTAATGATCCTAAAATCTTGAATCTATTTTATCCTGACAAAAAAAGACTTCGTTTGCCAGGAAAACTGAACTAGTATAAGATCATGGATTCCAACTACAGCAGATCATGACTGCGTCACCACAGCTGATATTTCACCTCTGGACTGAGTCACTGTAAGTGACGCAAGTTGCTAAAGCAGAAAAAGAATAAATGAAATGCTAAGTCAATTTAAAGGAGATGTTATGCTTTAAATCCTTCTTTTTCATATTTAAATCATTAATCGTTTTATTTAACGTCGCTCTGTGACTCACAATTTTTACTTGTCGCACATCTGTTGTCAGACTCGTCCTTAACGTTTCTCCTCTTCTTCGGAAGTGAAACTTCCACTGGTGGAAAAGAATTCCCTGGAGTTACAAGAATGTCCTCTGCCAGCATGAATATATCTTTGTGTTTGGAAAGAATGTGGGTGTGTTGACGGCCATTTTCATGCTTTCTCTGACCTGTGGTGGGGTTTTGGGGTTTTCTCTACGCAAAGCTGTTATTCAAATAGTTTTGTCCTTTTCTTTCTTATGAGTCACAATATCCAGCCTCCATTCTGTTTTATTCATTTTAGTTAGGAAAAAAAGTCAAGCTGGATAGTGTTGTTAATATGTGCGAGGGTGTTTTTGCTGTGCTGAACTCCTTTCCAGTAAACAAATGTACACTGCCAGTCCTGCTCTGACAGGTTATGGGTGTTTCCCAGTATTATAAGGTACATGAGAGCCTTTTTAAGAATGTGTGAGAATTGAAAAAAATGCAAAGTACTGTGCAGAAGTTTTAAACCACACTACTTTCTTTCTATTTCCCTTCTAATAAGTCAGACCTTTTCGAATTTTAAAGTGATCTTAATCAGTAGTTCTTGAGGGTTCCCGGAGGTCTTTACAAATGCTTTTCTTTGGACTTTGGTTGCATTTTCCCTCTTTATTGTTTTTCCAGTTCTTGTACCTCACTATGACAACAGGTTGTCCAGTGTTTGATTCAAATTAGCAACGTGGACAAATGAAGAAAAAGAGAAAACTGTCAGGCCTGAAACTGTTTTTAGCAGATGATTAACAATATCTCAAAATTTAGTTTTTAGGAAATGAAAGTAAGAAGAAAAAACAAAAGTCAGCAGAAACCTGACACACACACACGCACGGCCCAAGAGATTCATCATCTTTCAGCCGATTGACTGTAGGTCAAGTTTTCAGCAGTTAAGTCATTTATGTGTCACACTGTTATATTTGATATTTATTCTGAACTAAACTAATGAACTAAAACCAAAATGTGTCTTTAAGATGATCTGAAAGTAACAAAATGCTCAAAGATGGTTTAAAAGAGGTTCCTATGGTTCACTGGTAGCTTTTTCATGTCTGAATGATTTATTAGTCAGAGATGATTTAACAAAAACATTCCTTTTTGAAACTGGTCCACAAATTGTAAATGATTTGAAAAAGCAGCCAAATGTTTATCTAAAACATTAAAAACCTTAAAAACTCTTGATTACCGGTAGTTTAAAAAAAAGAAAAAAAAATGAGGCTCATAGGAAGCAAAACAAGAAGAACCCAGACTTTTGTATAGTACTGCTTTTTATTATGTAACGAACTACCAGATTACCAAAATCTGAATTTCAATTGATATTTATCTTAAAAAAAGTTTATTTTAATTACACTACAAAAGTTACTATTTTAACTTAATTTCCAACCCAAATCTAAACTTACCAGAATGTCTGTAATCAGTCTGCACCACAATATGATGCAGTTTTCTTCCTTACATTTGTTATTTCCTACAAAGCTGTTTGTGGCAAAGACGTGGCTTTTAAATGGAAAGTTGGACAGACGGTGCAGCTCTGCGATGTGGAAATGATGTAAGTCTGTCTTGTGGGCATGATAATGCACTTAAATTACTCCCAGACCTGCTGTTTTGTTTTGTTTTGTTTTGTTTTAGGGGTGCTCACATTTGCATTCACACTCACACGAGCACAACGTTCCAAAACACTGTTATGCAAACCTTTTAGTGGAATCCAACAGGTTTTTAATTCCGGGCTCTTTAAATGTTTTGACATTATTAAACTTTGTTTTTTGTAACTGCACACCCTTTTGGAATCTGTTTGCCTTTTTTTATATCACAGCTGGGTTTTGATCTCAGGTTCAAATGTCTTCAGCTGTTTAAAAATGTCACTTTAAATTTGTGGTAACACGTTTTCATGAGACCTGTGACCTGAACTAAAGCTCCTTAATTACCTCTTTACCTGGTAATATACAACTTAATTCTTGTGTTTTCCCAGTGTTTTGTCATGCCTTTACTTGTTGCAAGTTAAAGTCGGTGTAAAGTGTTTGCTGTACACAAACCCACATTGTGAGGTATCATGGTGAAAACAGGTTGACTGCATGCTAAATAAAATGAGCAGCCAGTTTGTTTTGTGTAAAAAAGTTTAATAGGAAGAATCTTTTGTGGATCTAGTCTGGATGTTTTGCCAAAACAAGCTGAACCCTCAGCGTTGGAGGGTGAAGAGGGTCTCAACAAACTGAGAACTGTTGGACTGAGGCCATTCGGTACCCTGAGCCAAGATTTGACGCACCGAGCGTTTCGGCCCAGTTACGTTTGGCATAATGTTGCACAATGGCACCAAATAATGTGAAAAAGTGATCTGGAGGGAGCGATTTGCTGCAAATCATCCCCGTTTATGAGCCTAAATTATCGAAACAAACAAAGACGAGAGGATTAAAAACAACAGTTATGCTTCAAGCTCCTCCGAGGAACATCCAGCTTTGCTGTTTACTACGCCGATAGCACGGAGGGGCTCCTTCCTGCTGTGAGCCGGTCTGTCTTTGCCTGCCAAATGTGTTTTGACTCAATGGGTCACCCACTGTGCGATCTCGCCATCCTTCATCCCAACCCGAAGCCACGGGATGTAACGAAATGAGATGCAGATGATCTCTTGGAATCCAACGCAGAAATTGTAAAGTTGAATGGATTTGTTGTGAAAAACCCAAAGTGATAAAATCGTGCAGCTTGAGATACAGCTGGGTTTAATTCAAACATGTGTATGTGTTGCAGAGAACTTTGCTCTTTTTATTTAGGAAAATACATAATTTATACAAAAAAACATAGCTTAGTTCATAAAACATCACTTTACATAGTTTTTATCCAAAGATCTAATATGTGTGACTATTTGTATGTGTTTTATGTGATAGTAAAAGTGTGTAAACATATCAAGTACACAGAAGTGCTTACAGTAAATACATGCTGGGGTCTTAGATGGTGAAGGTGGTGGTATCTTGTTCTTCTGAACCAGACTGGGACTGGTTCTCACTGGGTGTGTGGAGGGCGATCTCCACCGCCGGCTCCTCGTCCACTTGTCTTGAGTGTCTGAGCCGCTGTCCAAGGTGCTTAGCAGCTTTCAGGACATGTCCTCTGAAGGAGGACCCCATGAAGGCGTAGAGCACCGGGTTGATGCAGGCGTGGCTGAGGGCCAGGCTCTCCGTCACCTGGAGGGCCCGATCCAGGGCCTTGCTGACCTCGCAGTCCGTGACGAGGTGGTAGATGATGTCCATGGCTCGGCACAGCTTCACCATGTTGTAGGGCAGCTGGGTGAGCAGGAACACAGCCACCACCGCCAGGAGGACCCGCAGGGCATGCCACTTCTTCTCCCGCCGCACCCCGGCGGCCCTGCCGAGCGCCCGCCCGATCAGGCAGTAGCACGCCGTCATGACCAGGAACGGCAGCAGAAAGCGGAGGATGACCTCCGTCAGCTCCAGAGCGGCCTTTGCCGGCTGCGCCATGTTGGCCGGGTAGATGGACGTGCACCCGGTCCTGTGATGGGAGTGCTTCAGCGTGGAGAAGATGAGCTCGGGAAGGCCAAGGAAGCTGGCTAAAGCCCACAGGCCAACACAAACCAGGAGCCACTGCGTCCTCACCCGCGGACCCGTCCCGGTTCTGCCAGCCGTGCTCTGGGCTGTGGCTCGGTAGCGGTCCACGCTGATGCACGCCAGCAGCAGCATGCCACAGCTGAAGTTGGTGCTGTAGAGGAAGGAGGTGAGCTTGCAGGCCGTTTCACCCAACCTCCAGCCGTGGACGGCATCGGCAGCCCAGAAGGGCAGAGTGAAGAGGAGCAGCAGGTCTGAAATGGCCAAGTTGAGGATGCACACGTCCGTCAGGGTCCGGAGTCTCAGTCGGGACACGTAGACCACCACGACCAGGGCGTTCCCAGCCAAGCCCACCACCAGAACCAGGGCGTAGATGATCGGTAGGAAGATGCCACCAAAAGAACGCACGGCTTCTTTGTCACAGACGCTGTGTTCATGGCTGTGGTCATAGCTGTAGTCGTAGCTTTCATTTGATGTAAAGTCCTCTTCATAACTGTTGTAGAGGCCCTCCATGTTTCCTACACAGAAAAAAAAGCCAACTTTAGACCAACATTTGTTTCTTTTTAAAAGAGCACGTCATTCTGTTTGTTTCATTTAAATTGTTAAGAGCAGAGTTTACAAAGAAACAGGAAATGGGGAATTCTGTTTCTGTTGGTTTGTAAAGGAATCTCCCCTGCACGGTTCCCTTACGGGCCTATTTGTTAGAGCTGTGTGTGGGCTTGAACAGGACCAGCAAACAAACCTCTAAAGAGGGCTGGGAAAAGAAAAAGGCGACTAATTACCCTTTAGTTTGTATGCTATCGTATGTTGGGTGATCCACGTGAGAAAGAACAGCTCCTGATTTATTAAGGCTTGTGTTACAGGCCAAAGATAACATCAGGATTCCTAACAAATCTGTCATTCTGCAAACTGATAATATCAACCAAACCTTTGTAAAACATTATTACAGCTTTCATCTTTTTCCTCATCTTTGAACTCCGTACTGTTCAGTTTTACTGGATTACTTTGAATAATTTCTGCAGTACTGTCTGCCAAAGCGAGTCGAGGATGACAGGAAATATGTGCCGAGAGGGATGAGGCTGACATTTGAAAAGAAGCGACATCTCTTGCCAAATTAAAATCCAGGATGTTGGTTTAACTGGACTATGGTATGTGCTGCTTCAACAGGATGCCCCATTGATGAGGGACTTAAAGTCCGACTCGGCATTGCGGACAAGATGTTCAGGCGCCCTCACCGTCTCACACAGACAATTCTTTGTATCTTTTAAAACCTCACCTCTAATTCACCCAAAACAGCAAAACGCAGCACACGCTTTGAAGGTGGAACTTCTCGGGGAGATGTTTTTGCATGAAATATTTTGGATGAACTTGGCTGATGGCACTTGTTGTCAAGATGACGAGTCGTATTATGAAAAGAGTCCAAGTCTGTTATATAATGAGCCGTAATCTCTTGTTTGGGAGGAGCAGCATTTTGGTGAAACAGATGTTAATCGGAACATTCACAAATATGCCAAGAATTCACCGCTGTCAACAGCCGGGTGTCACATGGGACAGGTTAAGACATGCCTTTTTTTTGACAGCAACATTTTTAATTAATCACACCCCAAATACAGAATATTTATGAATTATTTAAATGGGAATAAAAATGATTCCAACATGAAACAAAAAAAAAATGCATGAAATAAATACAAAACCTTATACACTTGCACTTATGACCATTCAAGGTTTTCTGTCTCGAGTTTTTACATTAATATTAGCAGTTACATCTCGTTGCTGCTTTACAAAATGTTATTTCAGCAGGTTAAATGGCGGTAAAACTCATTTACAGAAGAGTGTTGTTGAGCCAAACGTCTCCTTCCTTCACTCTAGGCGCAATAAAATCATAAAAACATCATAGCAGGACTTTGACTGTAAGTTTAACTCCTAAAGTGAACATGTGACGGTTAAAAAAAAAGCCCAGTGCTTTCTGAAATCCGTTTTTTAAAATGTTGAAGACTGGGTTCTGAAATAACTACATAACAATTTAAGCTGTTGAAAAAGCTGCTTCCACAGGAGAACTGTGTCAGCTCAGTGTTTGTATGAAAAATGTGCGAAGAGATAAAGATTCTTACCTCTTGGCTGCTGATGCTTTGAAGTTGATGTAGAAGATTGTAGTCCCTCAGGGGGTTGGACACTCTGAAGTGTTGTTGTGTGTCCTGAGGAGACGGGCTGTGTGTGCTCCAGGACTGAAGTGACTAATCCCAACCCACTCACTTTCCAGCTGACACTGGGAGCGTGTCTCCTCTCCACGTAGCTCTGAGTGCACTTGTGTGTGTGTGTGTGTGTGTGTGTGTGTGTGTGTGTGTGTGTGTGTGTGTGTG